ACTGCCACATCTTTCTCCCACAGAGTGGCTGGTGAGTTTGAACCACTGACTTTTCGTTTAGCAGCTGAGGGCTTAACCACTGTGCCACTAGGGCTCCTGGGAACTTTATTAGAAACGTAAAATCTTGGGCCCTTACTCAGACCTACTGATTCAGAAGCTCTGGTTAACAAGGCTGCCATCTGCTTCTAACCACTGGTCTAAATGATCTAGACTCATGGATCATCCCTTCTTATTTCTTCCTACTTCATGATGTATCTGAAACAGTTTCTTCATATCTGTGGTATGTCTCATTCTCAACTCACACTTTATTTTTTTTAATCACTTCCTGAGATTTCTTCCTCTCTTCCTTCCCCTCTTTTTCCTTTTTCTCCTTACTGTTGCAAAAAATTGTTCATTAGTGTTATTTTCACAAAAGGGATAGTGTCAAAATTTGGATGCCACAGCCAATGTGACAAATAGCATACGTTTAAAGATGGTGTTTTTAACATCTTCAAATTAATTTTGTTTACTGCTTCCAGTTGGACTTGAGTAAATGTGATTAATTTCCTATGCTTTCCCATCTATAACTCCTGATTCCAAATTTTACAATTTCAAAATAGCTTCCCTCCAACTAAAATTTCAAAAGGTACATATCAAAGTGTGAATCACCTAGATTCAATAATTGTTGAATTTTGTTATATTTGCTTTACCTGTCTTTCTATACATATACACACACATTTTGCTGCTGAAACATTTGCAAGTAAGTTGCGTATATCGGGACCCTTCACTCCTAAATACTTTACTCTTGAAAGAATGAGGATCAAAGTAGCTTTCAGTGGAACTAGTACAGAATTGTTTTGAGAGGCCACTTGTAACAAAGGCTAAAACAATTAAGAAGTACAGCCAGAATGTTCCTTAGAAGCAAGGATGGCGAGATTTCGTCTCACATACTTTGGATGTATTATCAGGAGGGATCCAGTCCCTGGAGGAAGGACATTATGCTTGGTAAAGTAGAGGGTCAGGGAAAAAGAGGAAGACCCTCACTGAGATGGGTTGACACAGCGGCTGCAACAAGGGCTCAAGCATAACAATGATCATGATGATGGTGCCGGACCGGGCAGTGTTTCCTTCTGTTGTACATAGGGTCACTCTGAGTCAGAACCTACTCCATGGCACCTAACAACAACAACAACAAATATTTTAAAGGTACTACTATAAATGTCTTAATGAGGAAAAGGTATAAAACTTTAAGGTGTGAGTGTAAAAATGAATTCTCCAGTCTTTTTCAACAGAGTTTCTTATTGGAACTGTAGAATAAAAGATAATTTGGACTATTTTCCCAATTTTCCCTGCATAGAGAAGCAGTTACATTCAATGGATATCTTGGGGTATTAGGACTTAATAATTCTCTAGGGGGATCTCTGGTTAGCTGGATTGGCTGTGTGTACTGGGTTGAATAGTATCCCCCCAATTCATGTCTACCTGGAACCTCAGAATGTGATCTTTATTATAGTTATATCCTTCTGGCGTATTGACCCTTTAATCATTATATAGTGTGCTTCCTTATCCTTTGTGGTGGATTTTACTTTAGAGTCTGGTTTGTCAGAGATTAATATTGCCACTCCTGCTCTTTTTTGAGTGTCGTTTGCTTGATATATTTTTTTGCATCCTTTGAGTTTTAGCTTGTTTGTGTCTTTAAGTCTAAGGTGTGTCTCTTGTAGGCAGCATATAGACGGATCGTGTTTTTTTATCCAATCTGCCACTCTCTGTCTCTTTATTGGTGCATTTAGTCCATTTACATTCAGTGTAATTATTGATGGGTATGAGTTTAGTGCTGTCATTTTGATGTCTTTTTTTGTGTGTTGTTCACAGTTTCTTTGTGCCACTTAATTTTCTGTGCTGAGTCATTTTTCTTTATGTATTTTCTGTTCATTGTTTTCATTGTTATTGATTTTGTGTTTGCTGAGTATATTTTTCTAGTTTTTTATTTTGACTTGTAGGATTGTTAGTTTCCTTTGTGGTTACCTTAATATTTACCCTTATTTTTCTATCTTTATACCAGTCCTTTATTTCTTTATATTGCCTTGACTTTCTCTCCATATGAAAAATCTATGTCTACATTTTTTAAGTCCCTCTTTTTTGTTTTAATGTTGTCATCTTTTACATATTGACATCTGTTTCCCTATTTTCAGTGTTTTAGCTTTGATTTACTTTTGTGACTTCCCTATCTGGGTTGATATCTGGTCGTTCTGTCCTGTGTTCTAGTCTTGGGTTGTTATCTGATGTTACTGATTTTCTCACTGGAGGACTCCCTTTAGTATTTCTTGTAGTTTTGGTTTGTTTTTTGAAAATTCCCCAAACTTCTGTTTATCTGGAAATGCCCTAATTTCACCATCATATTTGAGAGACAGTTTTGCTGGATATGTAATTCTTGGCTGGCAGTTTTTTTCCTTCAAGGCTTTATATATGTCATCCCATTGCCTTCTTGCCTGCATGGTTTCTGCTGAGTAGTCCGAGCTTATTCTTATTGACTCTCCTTTGTAGATGACTTTTCATTTATCCCTAGCCCCTCTTAAAATTCTCTCTTTATCTTTGGTTTCTGCAAGTTTGATTATAATATGTCTTGGTGACTTTCTTTTGGGATCTACCTTATGTGGGGTTCGATGTGCATCTTGGATAGATGTCTTGTCATCTTTCACAATATCAGGGAAGTTTTCTGCCAACAAATCTTCAACAATTCTCTCTGTATTTTCTGTTCTCCCCCCTGTTCTGGTACTCCAATCACTTGTAGGTTATTCCTCTTGATAGAGTCCCACATAATTCTTAGGGTTTCTTCATTTTTTTTTTTTAATCCTTTTATCTGATTTTTCCTCAAATAAGTTGGTGTCAAGTGCTTTATCTTCAGTCTCACTAATTCTGACTTCCATTACCTCAATTCTGCTCCTATTACTTTCTATTGCGTTGTCTAATTATAAAATTTTATTGTTAATCTTCTGGACTGCTGATTGCTGTCTCTCCATGGATTCTTGCAGCCTGTTAAATTTGTCATTATGCTCTTTTCTAATCTTTTTAATTTCCTCTGTTGCGTGTTCTGTGTTTTGCTTAATTTCCTGAAGAGTTCTGTATATTAATCTTTTGTATTCTGCCCTGGTAATTTCAGGAATTTTTCCTCTTCTGGAAAATGTCTAGATTCTTTATTTTGGGAGCTTGCTGAAGCCATCATGGATTGCCTTTTTATGTGATTTGATATTGACTGTTGTCTCTGAGCCATCAATAAGTTATTATATTTATTTATTTATGTTTTCTTACTGTGTCCTAGCTTCTTGTTTTGTTTTGATATGCCCAAATGGCTACTTGTATGAGCTAGTTTGATTATTGGCACCTTTGAAGCTCTAATGTCCTGTCACGGGGTGGTTAGATCTGTTAGTAGATATATGAGCTCAGGAGTCTGCCCACTTCTGCTGTATGGATTCAGCTCAGGTGCCGAGGTAGATAGCCACCAAGTGTGTGGTGTAGGTTCTCGCTTACAGTCCTAGACAGGCATGGGTGATTAGTGTAGACACAGGCATCTGGCTACAGCAGGGGGACACACTCTGAGCAAGGCAGGGGGCTGACCGGAAGGTGTGTCCCTGTTCCCTAGAGCACGTAGGTGGGTGGGTTTTGCAGCTGGACTCTGAGCACGTAATGCTGTTGGCCGTAAGGACTGGGGGGGCATCTCTTATTCATGGGCCTGTATCGCAGGTGTCTAGGTGGTATGGGTGGAGCCACCAGTCCTTAGGCCCCTGATTTGGGTCAGTGAAGACCCTGCTTAATGGGCAGAGCAGTGTCAAATGTCAAGAACCTACCACTTCACAGCTGAAACAGTTGAATAGGTTAGAGTTCTGGTATATACCCTGTTGTACTGCGATAATCAGGGCTTATGCTGTTGAGATGGGCCCGCACAAGTCTATGCAGGGGGAAAGGCACTCAGAGTCAGTGGATCCCTTATGCCTGTGCCTAGGCAAAGGAGCTGTGCCTACCCTGGGTGCCTGGCTTAGGGGAGCCTGCAGTTTATTTTTTCCCCCGTTTGTTAATTTGTTCACTTTCCAAGGCAGGGAGAATGGCTCCGGCCATGTGACAGATCCTACTTCTGGCCCAGGGGACTCAGCAGTTGCTGAAGCCTGCCCAGGACCCAGTGCAGAGCAGGGAGTGGGGAGGTAAATGGGATATAGCTTTTTCCCTAAGGAGGGGTTATTGATCTGCATGGTAAGCCGTAGGTAAGTACTTATCTTTTGCCAATCCAGGGCTGCTTCTTACTGGTTCTGGGTGGCCGTGTAGACTCTCTGGCGCTGGGTCTCTCCTGGTATGAAAAATGCGCCTCCTGAGGACTGCTGCTTGTCTGCCTTACTGCTCACCCCCAAGCTGATCAGGCCTGAAGGGCTCAGGCTTTCGCTGGGTAAACTCTTCTCTGCTTCCGAACTGTCTTTCCCTCCCCCTGCCACTCAGTCCGGTTCCTCAACTCTGCCTCTGATGTTCAGGGCTCCCAGATTGTCATATATAATCAATTCACTTGTTTTTTCGCGTCTTTTTTGTAAGAGAGTCCACCGGAAGCATCTGACTACTCTGCCATCTTGGCCCCGCCCTTCAGAATGTTATCTTATTTGGAAATAGGATCATACTGGATTAGGGTGGGCCCTAAATCTGATGAATAGTGTCCTTGTAAGAAGAGGGGAGGACACACAGAGATGCACAGGAAGGAGTCCTTGTGAAGATGGAGGTAGAGATTTGAGTGATGCAGCTACAAGCCTGGAGCCAGTAAAAGCTTGAAAAAAGAATCAAGGAAAGATTCTTCCCTAGAGCATTCAGCAGAGGATGGCCCTGCTGACAGCTTGATTTCACATTACTGAGAGAATAAATTTCTGTTGTTTTAAGCTACCTAGTTTGTGGTATTTTGTTTTAGCAGCCCCAGGCAACTAATACCTTGTAATATGGCAGGTTCTTAGATGGCTTGTTATGTTTATGCAAACAACACTTGTTTTTAGATTACAGGTCCACCAGGTTGTGGAAAAACTCAGTTTTGTATAATGATGAGTGTTTTGGCTACATTACCCACCAACATGGGAGGATTAGAAGGAGCTGTTGCATACATTGACACAGAGTCAGCATTTAGTGCTGAAAGGTAAGAGATTTTATTACTTGCCATAATAATGCCTTACTTTTGTAACTTCTTTTATGTACCACATGTAACATTTTACAAATAGGTTAACATTTACCTTTTTTTTTTTTTTTTTTTTGAGAATGCAGAATGCTAGATACTGTCTTAAAGGAATTTTTCTTTCTCATTTGTCTAAGTGGGGTTTCTGGGTAAGCTGGATTTTGCAGAAAGTCAGGAAGAAGCTTAAATAACAGAGGGAGGAAAGTAAGAAAAGGAGGAAGAGGGAAAATTAAAAAAGACAAAAGGTCTGCTGCTTTACAGGTAATTTCTAATTGGAAGTAAAATATTAGTGAATGGAAAAATTGCACATTTCCAGTGTACACAAAACAGTTTTTGCTTGAGAAGTATTTTACTTTAACCTTTGAAATAGTATGGTATCAGGAATCTCACTCATGGTAAGTATATCCACTCCTGGGAAAAAAAGATTTTGTTAGTTTGACAAGGACCTCTAACGTTCTATGAGAGAGACATTTGATCTTTTGTGTAATTCTATACACCTGGAGATAAATCTGGCCTCCCTATCCCTGTACCCCCAGCTCTGACTGGCATTCATAAGCTGAGGTCTTACACATTCAGAGACTCATTCCATCCTGTTCTCTTAGTAAAAATATAGTCCTTTCAGTCTGTCTTTGACTTTGTCACTATGAATCGGATTTCTCCCTTATTTTTCTCTAGACAGTACCGTTTATATGAAAGATGTTACTTGGCCAGAGAAGGTCCAAATGGATTGTTTTGCCTGGAGTTAACTACTTGTTTTGTTTTCTACATTTCTTGGTTTTCTCTTCTTTCTGAGTATATGCCACTAGTCTAGCAGCTCATTGAGTTTGTGTTATATCTTTGTATCTTCAAAGCCACACTCAGTGACTGACACATATTAAGTGTTCAGAAAATGTTTGCTAAGTGAATGAATTCACAGTTGTTACTCCCAGATTGTGGAATCCAGATAGGATTTCTTACTAAAAGAAACAATGGAGAAATTACTGATTCTAGGTGTGAAGCAGGACATTTCAAGCTGGTCTGAAACCTCCTGTCATATCAGATGTTGAGGAAACTATTCAAGACTAATCAGGAGAGTGTCAGAAAGACCTGGGAGCCAACCTGAGGGGCTCTTACTGGCCAAAGATGAAACAAATTGAGTGTCAATAAGAATAATAATGGCAGTAGATGAAAACACATGAAATATGCTTACATTTATGAGTCTATAATGATACTAAGAAATGAAAAGCAACTAATTGGTCATGATTGGAGAATGCCAGAGAAGCAACTCATTATTTTAAAAATGAATAAAAAAAGAAAAAAAAATCAAGTGTTTATTCTTTTCTTCTTATATGAATTGTATTACTGAGTAATCTTTTTTAGAAGTATTCTAGTAATGAAGAAGGAATGCTAGAATACCACCAAATTACAAACCCTAACAATCTAATGGATGTAGGTACTGACTATCAAAGGCTGCTAGCATCACAAAAACAGGGTTGTATACCTCCTGAATAGTCAGACCTGACTGTGATCAATTTACCTTCAGCTCCAACTACCAGCTTACAACATATGCAGAGAAGAGAGGAGAAACATGTTAACCTACCTTACAGGGATGCAAGCAGGAAAATCCAAACTGTGGGAAACTACAGAACAATCTGGTTTCTTCAACAAATAAATTGTAAACTAACAACAACAACAAAAAGAGTTGGAGGGGGAACCTTTGGATTAAAGGAGACTTAAAAGCAAGGCTTCGAACCAGTTTGTTCCAGTTTGAACCCCTGCTAATAATTTGCATTTCCACCCTAGATATACTGAATCAGAATCTACAGTTTAACACGATCCCCATGTGATTCTTATGTATAATAAATTTTGAGAACTACTGCTCTACTAGTGGTTTGCAGAATTAGTCCCTAACCAGCAGCATTAGCATTGCTTGGGAACATATTAGAAATGCAAATTCTCAGCAGGGGCTCCAACCGGAAGGAACCGGTCCAAAGCAGTGCTTAAAAGACATGATAATCAATTGCAATGTGATGAGCTTAGCTGAGTCTTGACTTAAACAAATGACAAAAAAGAACAGAAGCAAAAACATATCTGACCCCAAACCCATTGCTGCTGAGTGGATTCCGACTCATAGTGACCCTATAGGACAGAGTAGAACTGCCCCGTAGGGTTTCCAAGGCTGTAAATCTTTATGGAAGCCGACTGCTAGCTACATTTTTCTCTGGCTGAGTGGGTGGTGGGTTCCAATGGCCAACTGGTTAGCAGCCAAGCACTTTAACCACTGCACCACCAGGTCTCCTCCAGTAATACATCAAGTAGGTATTAATTAACCAATTAGGTGCTAAATAGCTCTTACAGATATCCTGGGGAATTTGGTTAAAGAATACAAGGATTAAAGTTACTCTGATAACGGTTCAGTTCACTGTAGTTGGATGCCTGCTTTCTTTGCACCTCTTAAAAAACTGAGTTTAGGATATCTTCTTAAAGAGTAAACTGTTGCATAATTCCATTGTTATGAGGATTACAGTTCAGAGCAGGTTAAAAACCCTATCAGTGAATTGGGTGTTATCTAGCTGTTTTAGTTGTTTGCAATTAAGTTTTATCCTATCCAGCATAAATGCAGGTGACCAGTCTATATTTTCTAATTTAATTTGTAGATATCATTGTTTATGTTTATTTGTTTTTGCATACAGCCTTAATTATCTACTTTTTGGATCCTGTATATCCACCAGGCAGTCCTTGGAAACCCTATGGAGTAGTTCTACTCTGTCCTGTAGGGTCGCTGTGAGTTGGAATCGGCTCCATGGCAATGGGTTTGGGTTGGGTATATTTACTTATTTCTCCTGTATCTTTTCCTGCCTATGTGCATATTAGCATTTGTATCAGAATCAGGTGGGGAAATGTGAAGGGTAAAATTTTAGTCACTTTGTTGGAATTATGTTGCACTTCTGAAGGTCATTTAGAAGATAGGGGTTGAAATTTGTGTTGTCTTTACTTTCCTATTCCATTCTTCATAAGGCTTGAAAAGTGTGGTCACCTGACCGCCACATGGAGTACATTTTGAGGTCTGGTGATAGGGTCAGATGGCATCAAAAGTACCAGCACTTGTTTTATAGATGTCAGACTTGGGGTTCTTATGCTGCCTTCTAGAATTTGCCGTGAATGTGTCATGGAATGGAGCTGACTCTGTAGTGCCTGGTTACATATCACTGGTGCTGTTTCAAGACTGCTTGACCCATATTCAGAGTTATTAGGTGAAGGTTGTTCTATCGGTTAGGAAAGCTTTCTGCTGCAAGTAACTGAATACAACAGTTAAATACAGCGGTTTAAACAAAAATAGGCTTATTTTTCTCACTTAACAAGAAAGCGTGAGGCAGGCAGTTGCTGGCACTGGTTCAACTGCTCAGTAATACCACAAGAGACCTAGGACTGGTGCAGTTTTGGGCATCACATCCATTCCATGCTCAAATCAATGGGAGGGAAAAGCACTAGCTATATCTGTTCCTTTCATTAGGAAAGTAAAAGTTTTTCTAGAATACCCATCTCTTCCTCTCTACAGATTTCCTTGTTCATCTCACTGGGCCACCCCTAGATGCAAGGAAGAATGGGAAAAGATTGTCATAACAATCATGATTAGTTGCCTAGTGCTGGTTAACAATGCTATCTGAGTAAAACTGGGGTTCTCTTTCATAGTAAGGAAGAAATGGGAATGGATATTGGGTAGGCAATTAACAGTGTCTGCCATAACTGGGATAGTTTCTAGAATTAGAAAAGAGGTAAAACAGGGAAATATTAAGACTCCAAAAGGAATATATTTTAATTTATATTTAAAATAAAAACTAAGTTTAAAATGCATTAAAAATGAAAACCTTGAAGATGAATGTACTTAAAAGTCCTTTAAAAAGAGTAGTTATATTTTTGAAAAGAATATACTACCTAGCTTACTGTACATCTCTTTTAGAAGATAATAATCTACAATAGTATGTTGATCATGTTCTTTCATCATAGACTGTAATTGTACCTCCAAACTTTGTAACAATTAATTAATAATATGATTTGGTGCTAAGCCCTCAGGTATTCACGGTTGCCTTGGGGAGAGGGGAAGACTAAGTAGGCAGAGCTTTGGATTTCCTTCTTCTTACTGATTCAGAAAAGATCTGTTTTTCTTTTTTTCTTTCTTTTTTTTTTTTTACTTATTAGACTTCTGCTGAAGATCTAATATAGTCTTAGGCACCATATGCTTGCACCTTGCACCTTGAGAATATGAATAAAGAGATTACACCAGTGACCCGTATCCATATTCTGTACTACAGAAATTTTGGCTACCATGAGAATTTCAGTATACATGAATTAAATGAATTATATATTATCGCTATTGGAGGTAATTAGAAAAAGATGGAACTGGAGGATTAGGAATAGAAAAGGAAGATAATATGGACAGTTGATAGGAATAGAAGTTTTTGAAATAAAGCTTTGGGAGAAATAAAATGGTGAAAGAAAATAAAGATGGGTCTTAGAACTGCAAATGAAGGGGGACTAACACGTGTGAGAAGAACTGAGGGATCTGGGGAAGTAAGAGATGGGACCCAGGACCTGGATGGGTGGGCTGTAGGACTAGAACTTTAGGAGGTAAAAGTAGACATTTTTGGTTATCGTGAAATGAGAAAAACGTTGAAAACTTGGAAGAAAGATGCAGTGCAGCAAAGGGAGAAGACATTAATCAAATAATCACTAAAATGGAAAATCATAACTATGGTAAATATACGAAGGAGGGGTACATGTTACATTAATACTATGTGGGAGCAAGGGCTGAGTTTAGGACTGAAGGAGCTGCTGTATGTAGTGTGCATTTTACCTCTTAGTGTGCCAAGTGTCCCAGACCCCCAAAACCAAAACCTGTTGCTGTCAGTCGATTCTGACTCATAGTGACCATATAGGACAGAGTAGAACTGCCCCATAGAGTTTCCAAGGAGTGCCTAGTGGAT